TCTCTGTTTTGTATAGGATAAGAATATCAGGAGAAATTATATTAGATTTTCATTTTGTATATTCCTCTACCTATCTTGTGTTGATTTACCTAAATTCAATATGTTGCTTTTGTAATTTGTAGTTCAGTTACCTTAGTTTAAAGAAAACAAAAAAATCATAAAAAAATAAAAAATAAAACTTTTTCTACCTGACTGAGATCTGGTGAGTAATCAAGTTGCCGAAATTCAGTTTCACCTCAACTCGTTTAACTCAACAGACAAATTCAAAAAAAAAATGTTTGTTTTTGAGATAATTCTATTCTTCTCGACTAAGGATCGCAAAAGTCAATTCAGCCACTTTGGGTGGGTAAACCGCGACGAAGTTTATAGTTCATCAAAAAAAGTTTATTTTTGAGAAAGTTCTATTCTACTTTTTTCTTCTTTTGAGGAGAGTAAAACTGTTATATTTGACAAAGAATCTAGTTCTTGCATCAGTGTTGAATTCTACCAGTAATTTAACAAATTTTTAGCCGTTCTGTGCTAAATATTGAAACGTAAATTAACCAAAGCAAATAAGAAAAAGTGAAAATCAAAATAGAAACTTAAACTTTGTAATATTTGATGAAATTAATTAGTGCCTCCTTTCATGTTTACCATCATAGCAATTAGCATATCCTTGCCAAAAAAAATCCTCAGGAAGAAAAAGGTCTAAATAACAAATTGAAGATTTTAGCCACATTCCTTCAAAATCCACAGGCTGCAACAAATTTTGTGCAGTGCAGTTTCTTGAATCCTTCTGTATGTCTAAATCTGCAATCTCCTTCGCCCCAGAGCAATTACTGGAGCAATACTCAGATGATATAGTACTAAATCCCTCGTACAGACATTGGACTTTCACAAAATTAAAAAACTCTCGAGTCTTTATCCTTGTCAATCATCAAGAAAACTACAATGGATCTTATCAGTGCACAAAACACACTGTAATGCATCATTATTTTCAAGCTTTGTTGAGTAAAAATTGAGACTTATGGTTGTGAACTCTTCATCCTGCATATAAAATCTTCGATCCCGGTCAACGTTACCAGATATACTCCTAATTTTGAGAAGGTAAGAAGTTAGATAATCAAACAGAAATTTATGCAAAATGTCAAGACTCTCAAACAAATGAAAGGCATGCCTTTTCACAAGCTGCCACTCACCAAACCAAAGCTTTTTAATCAGTGAAAATGGCAATGAATGACTGCACTTCCTATTGCCGTTGCATTGGCTTAAGAGTAAGCATTCCCTCAACCATGACCACAAGCCTCGAGTTATCATGCCAATCAAAAGGCAACATTGATTTGACATTCTTCCTTCACAGAATCTCCAGTTCTTTTTTGGGGGAGAATAAACACGCTGCTTGAGTAAAAACGCTACTTGTTTGTGACCCTCATTCGCTGTTATTATGTTTTACAGGCTAACACTGGAGCAAAATAGAGACTCAACGGCCTTCAAGCATAAATGTGGTCGAGAAAATTGAGAAGAATGCTTCTATCTCGAGTTAAATGTTTTGTTAGCCATTGAACTTTGCACTTCGTTACTACTTACTCACCCAACTCACAAAGCTTTGCAATGGCCACTGAACTTAAGTCCGTTGCACTCAGGCCCGGCTCTGAGGCGAGGCAAATGAGGCCACCGCCTCAGGCCCAAAGGTGGAGGGGGCCTAATTTGTTAGCCCAACGACTTTTTTTTATTTTGGTAACCTAAACTACCAAAAGAAATTCAATCAAGGCAGAAACAGTTCCCGTCTCTTTCCCTTCCCTTCCCACTCTCAACTCTCAAACTCATCAAGAATCTACCCCAATCCAATCGTTCTTCAAGCCCACTGTTCTTCCTCCTACAGTCCTACTGTGCGTCTTCTCTGGAGTTCTGCGAATCTGCTTCCTACTGGTCTGCGAGGCGACAACTGGCATTTGGGTAGTTTGGGCCTGCGAGGCGACGATTGGCATCTTCTGGTCTCTGGAGTTCTGCAGGTATGTAGTTGTTCACCCCTTCCCCTTCTACCATCCATAGTCTTAATTAGCCATTATGTCACTTTCTAAGCACTAAAGTTGAGGATTTCATATTTCTAGGTTTTTGATAACATGGATCTGCCATTTGAAAAGTTACTATTGTTGCCGAAAGGTGGACACGGGGGGACATAATGGGTGAATACTAAGCCACTAAACTGATTTTCTTATACGCATTCTGAGTTGCTGGAAAACATGAAATAACAAAAAATAGACTCTTTGAATTATATCTTGGTTTTTTTAGTGAGCATAGTTAAAGAGTTACTGGAGCATATTTAGAAATGGAAAGAGGGGAGATGAGCAACATTAACTATTTTTATCCCAGTGCTAAATGCTACTATTCCATTTCTTCCAAAATTGTTGTTATTTTTAATAGAAATGGATCAAGTTCGGCTTTGAGTAAATCTTTCTACTGGATAATTTCTTGGATGTGACACGATGTAAAAATCTGGAGATGTTTTATTATTATAAGCATTTATAAATAATTGTATCTGTCTTGATTCATTCCAGGTTAATATTGTGAGTCAGATTGTTTTGAATGATTGTGAATCTGATTGTTGTGAATCTAATTGTGAATCTGACTGTAATATAATAGTTTCCTTAATATAATTTGATTGTTGTGAATCTGATTGTAGTGAATGACTGTTGTGAAGATTGTTGAAGGGTGTGAATCTGATTGCACATGCGTATGATTTTGATTTCAGGCTTGTGAGATGCGACGGTAGAATTCTGAAGGGCGTGAATTGTGATTCCATAGTTTTCATCGATTTTCTACTTCTTAAGTAAGCAATGACTTGCCCTAAGTTGATTTTGAATATATTGAAAATGTTTGAAGAGAATATATTAAAAATGTTTGAAACATTGTCGGCTTATACAATTGTGGCATGGTCAGCTTATATGAATGTTCATTGTAGTCAGTAGGATCAATTGCACAGGCGCACGTACTCACTGTATTGAATACTTTAATTGTGAGATGAATGTTCTTTATATTTGTTTGTCATTCTACTGTTCAGTGTTAAGTTAGCAATACACTACATAATAAACTGTTGGGTTTTGCATTTACGTTGTTTTGGGGGGCCCAATTTTGGGAGTTCGCCTCAAGCCCTGAAAATCACAGGACCAGCGCACTCCATTAGTCGTCGGAGGGATTCCGTCTCTGGTTATGCCTATGTGGGAGAAAGAATAATGACACGGCCGTTAAAATTATCTAAATGCTAAATCAAATACACACATGGACTCTAGCTCTCCCAAACACTCAGCAAGATTGGCGCCGCTCCTCTAACATGACGTGACCATCGAGCACGGTGAAGCAGCATCATTGCGCGCAGCTGCGTCTCATTGCGGGCAGCACCGTTGCACGTAAGTTTTTTTTTACTGATCCGATCTGCTGTAGGGGTTTGCACTGTAGATGATTTGTTGGTGGATGGTTTTTTGATCAAATATGCTGCTTAGCTGGAGTATTGAGGTTGTTTGTTGGTGTTTTGCAAATGGTGGTAGTGGTACAGGTGATGGCGACGGTGGTGTTGACGCGGGTGCTACAGTTGGCGGCGGCGGCGGTTTCAGGTGGTGGAAGTTTTTTCAAATGGTGAGGTGGTGTTTTAGCATGTAATGGTGGTGGTTATGGTGGTTTTGGCGACTGTGGTGCTGGCAGGGGTGCTGCAGTTGATGGTGGTGATGGTTCTAGTAGCAGTTTCAGGTGGTGAGGTGGCGTTCTAGGTGCAGTTGGATTTTAAGTGATTGTGACCAATAAATTGTTTAATTTGTCACCAATAAATAATATGTGACCTAAAAAATGTAATTGTGACTCATAATTTATTAAGCTGTGATGTAAAAATAACTCGTAAACAATTAATTTGATTATTTGTGACTTATAAAATTTATGATTTGCGATCGATGAATAAAATTGTAACCTATAAATTTTTTGATTTGTGATCGAAAAATAATTTGTGACCAATTAATCCGATAATTTGTGACCAAATAATATATAATTGAAACCTAAATATATTTAATTAATAAAATATAATTTTATAATTATTTCATAAATAAAATTTAATTAATATCTGATTTTTGAAGTTTTAAACCTTGTTTCTTAGTTTTTAAATAGATTATACTTACATGGGTGTCTTCAACTAAGATTTTAAAAGATTATAAATACTAATGAATTTCGTGAATTTGAATAGATTTTCACAAATTTTATAAGAATCTCATCAAATATGGTGAAATTTCAAAAGATTTAGTTACATGTATTTTTAAACTTGAAATCAATTCAACTCTTTTAAAATTCCTCTAATAATGAATTTTTGTTAAATTCATTAGTTATTGATACCTAAATTTTAAAGGATTTCACTAAATTTAATTAAAATCTCAATTGGGGTAAATTTTGATGGATTTTATTAAAATCTCGATTGAGAATACTTAAATATAAAATCCATCACAATTTCTATCGAGGACACCTCTCTTATATATGAAATTTTTCTCTCAATAAAATCCTATTGAAAACACCTAGATTTGATGGTTTTCGTTAAACAACAAATACACGTGAACTTTAGGACCCCCCCCCCCCACCCACCCTCTCTCTCCCTCTATCTCTCTCACAGACGCCATTAGGATCAGCGGAATTCCATTTAATGCAAAATCTACACCCAAACCCAAAGCCAAGATCCAAATCTAACCAAATTACATAGATCTGATCTCACACCCATACTCCAATCCATCACCATTTCCAATTTTCTTATTCCAACCTCACACACTCTTTTTTTCCTCCAATCAATCAATTCCAAAATTAGTTTAATCACAATCTTTCACATTTTTGCGCTCAATTTTTCGGCACGTGTTATCTTTTTCTGTCTACAAATGCAAATTTGTAGATATTTTCAATTCCTCCAAATCATGGAGCCAAAAAAGCCTATCAAAACCACATCTCCACCAATATTATCCCTGCCATTTGGAAGATTGAAATTGATTTTGATTTTAATGGCTTCTCTTGTTTCATTGGCCCTTCTCTCTCTCATCCTCTTCTTCTCTCTCTCCGCCGCCTCCCTCCACCACCGGAAGACTTCTTCCGGCGGTCTATCTGCCAAGGAAATCATCCATGAAGCCTGCAAGGCCTCACGTGATCCACCCACATGCGAGGCCGCCTTGGCTCAATCCAATCACGTGTCTTACGACGCTACAATTATGCAGGTAATTCAAACTGCCATGTGGGTGTCCTCTCAAAATCTTAACAAGGCTCAAGGAATGGTACAGGAGATTCTGGACGCATCCACAGGGAATGAAAACCGGACTAGAGCGGCCAAAAGCTGTCTAGAGGTGCTGCATTATTCGGATTGCAGAATTAATATGACCAGTGTAGCACTCGCCAGTGGCAAGATCAAGGACGCACGCGCATGGATGAGTGCTGGCCTGGCATATCAATACGACTGCTGGGGAGGGTTAAAGTACGTGAACCAGACGTCTCAGGTAAATCAAACGATGGCGTTTTTGTATTCTCTCACCGGCTTGAGCAGCAATGCATTGGGCATGATTGTCAATTATGACCATTCCGGTGAGAAAACCGAGTCATGGGCCCCGCCCAAGACCGAGCGGGACGGGTTCTGGGAGGGCGGGTCGGGTGATTCCGGGTTCGTCGGTGGAGTGCCTTCGGACCTGAAGGCGGAAGTGACAGTGTGCAAAGACGGCGGTTGCACCTACAAGACAGTGCAGGAGGCGGTGAATGCAGCACCGGATAACCCGCCAGAGGGAAAGCGGTTCGTGATAGGGATCCATACCGGGGTTTATAATGAGACGGTTCGGGTCCCATTTGAGAAGAAGAACGTGGTGTTCTTGGGGGATGGCATGGGCAAAACCGTCATTACAGGGTCTCTGAATGTCGGCCTGCAAGGGGTCTCCACATACAATTCTGCCACCGTTGGTGAGTTGACTCGTTTGTGCTTTTGCAGTGATTTTCGTTTATACCGTGTGGTGTTCATATTATTGCTTATATCAGCAATAAGTTTCAACATATTTTGGCTTTGGTTTCAGTTTGGTTTCTTATTTTAGTGATTGTTTGGTAAAGCTGTTGTGGTTAAATTTCATTTTTAACGGCACATTTTATTGACTTCACAACTTTTATTTACTTCCTAGCCAATTATTTTGTGGGAGCCACCAACCTTTAGCAACATCACTTAGCCCTTTAGCACGAGTTGATGTATACTATTCATTTCCATCCAATTATAAATTGACTTGTCATGGAAAATAAAAATTGATTTTAAGGTTGAAAATTTGACAGCAGATCTCAACTCCTTTAGTACTGCATTGTCCAAACAAAATGATTATGTGGTCGAGTTTTGCACTTAGGTATGGGGCTTTGCTTGTTGTTTAATTGGTTGATGTAATTTATGGGAAAGATCTCTAAACCAAATTCAATTCTTGAGTGGTAGGAGTTCTTGGCGATGGATTTATGGCCAGTGGACTTACTATCGAGAACAAGGCAGGCCCTGATGCTCATCAAGCAGTGGCTTTCAGATCAGATAGCGATCAATCTGTCGTAGAAAATTGCGAGTTTCTTGGCAATCAAGACACATTATATGCCCATAGCCTACGCCAGTATTACAAGTCATGCCGCATTCAAGGCAATGTGGATTTCATATTCGGAAATTCAGCTTCATTTTTTCAGGACTGTCTCATCTTTCTTTCTCCTCGACAAGTTAATCCTGAAAAGGGTGAGAATAATGCAGTGACAGCCCATGGAAGAACGGACCCTGCCCAATCTACCGGATTTGTCTTTCAAAATTGTACAATTAACGGCACTGATGCATATAATGCTTTGTATAAGAGCAACCCTCGTGTCCACAAAAATTACCTGGGAAGGCCATGGAAAGAGTTCTCAAGAACAATTTTCATTCATTGTACATTGGAGGCTCTTATTACACCAGATGGCTGGCTGCCTTGGGATGGTGATTTTGCATTGAAGACGCTTTATTACGGGGAATTCGAGAATAGTGGTGCCGGATCTAACACAACAAAAAGAGTCACGTGGAGTAGCGTGATTCCAGCCGAGCATATAAACTCGTACACGGTCCAGAATTTCATCCAAGGTGACCAGTGGATTCCTAAATCCTCTTGACTGAAGTGCACAGATAATGTTGTGATTTCTGCTTAATTTTTACAGTCAGTAAAAGTTAAATTATGTGATAGAGAAGTTTAAGATCCATTCAAAACATAATGAATAGTTTTGAGCGGTATCTTCTCAAGTTATTTATGTATATGGCAGAAAGAAAGTTCTCTGTGAACCTTGAGAACAACTTCAATGAGAATTCATTGTATGCATTCTTCATATTGACAACACAAACTCCATTTTATTCACTAGCATAAATCCTACTATTGAACCAATAGATTAACCTTTACAAATCTTAGCAATTTATACGACAATGGAGCTCTCCAAGTACTGCAAGTCATTCTCTTCTAGGTTTTACATGTAACCATACAAGTAACAATCAGTACGCATGAAGAATTATAAACTTGGGGATATTACGAGTGGCTTGTCACCTTTATCAACAACAAATGTCTTAGTCACTTTCTTTGAAGGAGTAACAATTTCAACTTCGTAAAATCCATGAAATTTTCTTAAATGAACTTGCTCGTCTATATAGCCAAGAGCATGAGACAACCATTCCTGCTTAAGATTGAGGTATCTTTTACCATCATTAATATCCTCTTCAGCATTCACTAAATGGGCATTATCTCCACTCATGAACAACTCCCAAAATCCTCACAAAATCACACCATCCACTGCAGGGTGGGCAAAAGCTTCCCAAAGCATAACTTCCAATTCATTAGCTTTGACATACTCATTGTTGGGAGACACATTGTGAACCATATACCAAGGACCCTCAACTTTTCAAGCGCTGAACAAACAATTGTCCCAACTGGACTGTCTCTGTGTCCCTGTAAGCCTATTCCCCTGAAAGGTGCTCTGCTCTTTGATATCAAGAATGTGCTCAATGTACTTCTCTGGGGATGATCGTGTACCTTGAACATCCTTGATATGGTAATCATTCATAAATAGGATGGCATCGGAGTCCAGTTCATCTGCAACCTTGAACATCTCTGTGCTGATATCTTTTCCAAGTGATCTTGATAGAATGAACCATGCAGCATTCCATTGTCACACCATAAGACTCAGATTTTCCCTTGTAGCCTGGGAGAAGATCTGATAGATGGTTTTGTACAGCTGGCATCACTTTATATTTGTCCTTCTATAAACCACTTACCCATGACTGAACTTCATCCTCCACCTCCCAGAAGATACAATAACCTCAGACTTGAATGTTGCAGCTTATACAAAAGTTCAAGAGCTCAACACCATCTTTGTAGTTCAGTTTCCCCTTCCATAGTTCTGTCCAATCCCAATTCAACTCATTTCCGGACTGTCCGGCTGAAGTTTTTGGAAAAGAAGCTAATAACGCTTCATTGTCCATATCCTTTCTGTTTATACATGATCCAAATGGAAAGCTATATTCTGTTTGTCTAACTTTCACAGAGGCTCCAAGCGAAGTCCCAGATCAGATATTAACTTCAAGACTATTTCACGTTTGCTTATCTTCATAGCCACACGTCATTAATAAGAGATGTCTCAAAAAAATTCCATATCATACTATTATGATAAATAATGAATTTATCCTTCAAGGGAAAGGGGAGAAGATTAAGATTCGCTATGGTACTCTGGTATCATTTGTAATATATTGATCTTTATGAAGATACATCTTGAACAAATGAGTAGATTAATCTACTTAAATGAAGAACTTTTAGCATGAGAGGAAGAGCTAGAATGCCTTCAGTTAGTACTTCATAAAAATTATATTGAATCATAGAGAGAGTCATTAAAGTATCGAGAAAACAAAAATAGTTCCAGCATTAACAGATAAATTAACCATAGAGATTCAGCTGAAGCAAAAATGATCTCAAGATTCTGTCACAATCCCATTAGCGATGTCATGTTTTTAAGGCCCGAAACCTACTTCAAGATAATAAGTCAAAATCTCAAAAGAAACATTTCGAAACATACATTTTCAGTTTGTTGCTGTAAGTGACTAAATCTTGCATGTGACACATTGGAAAGATTTGAAGTCCAGCAACTAACAAATCTAAAACTGCGTCAGGACTGTGCACATAAGCCATTATCACCATAGGTTTCTTTTTGATTCTAAAAGGTGTTGGAATTTTGTATTGGAAATTGATTGTGACCAATTGAAATGATTTAAGTGGAAATTCCTTATTTGGTGAATGAGATATTAAGCCTAACTTAAACCACTTAATACTTGAAATTATTAGAATTGTGTAGA